AGAGATACATGTTAAGACGCTCTGGGGAAATCCCATAGAGGATCCAGGTCAGAGCTGAGCAAACAGGTCTTCTTTTATGTGCTCCACCCCCAGTTCTGAAGCTGTCACAGCCTCAGGACAACACGGGTCACAGCAGTTAGGCCTGAAGGTCCCTCCAGTTCCATTGCTGGGAAAGCAGTCCCTGTTCCCTCTCTGCAAGGGACAGTGTCTCCCCCTTAGCTCTTGAGGTCAAGGCAGCTGTACTTCTCTTAGTGTCCCCGACGCGGGAAGAGTCCTATTACTGTAGCTAATAATCCTGTGTTGTGTGTTTGAAAACTGCTCAGAGAATAAATCTTAAACATTCTCACCACACATAAAGAATGAATGAAGACACGAAGACCCATACCCAACAGGTGAGTTGCTGAGCAAAGGTGTCAGGACCTTTTCTCCCTATTTGCTGACCCAGGGACACAGGTGAGAGGCGCAGGTGGAAGCAATTCCTGCCCCTTGAACAAACACTCCCTCGCTGGTGCTGGGAGTCAGGTGGGAATCTACACAAACACTCAAATCAAAGCAGCAACTACTTTATTTAAAACTCACAAACACCCTCGCAGGGGCTACCCTTCTCCCCCTTTATGGAGGAAAATAACCTGAGGCCCCAGAAGTCACTACAAGGAACATTCTGGGAGTTCTGGGGACCATTGGAGAGCTTCATCCAGGTGAGTTATGGGCATGTGGCTTTCTAAGGGTGGAGAATGGACGGACAGGTGAGCTCGGCATTGGGTTCCCAGAAATGGGGGTGGAGAGAAGAGAACCAATCTGAGAGATATCTGGGCGGGTGCCAGCAGGGCCTGCTTGGATTGGGAGGACGACAGGAAGGAAGAAAAGGGTGTCTGGTCTGAGCGACTGGTGGGAGGTAGGTTTGAGCAAGACTAATCGTCGCAGCGTGTCACACACGTGTGACACATCCCGTGTGCCAGCACATTGTCACGCCTGTTCTTCGAGCCTCACGGCCACCCCAGAGGAAGGACGAGGGCACTCAGACACGGGAAATGGAGCCGGCCTGGAACACGGGAGGTGGGAGCCCACCAGGGCCCAGGGCTGACGGGAGCAGGCACAGCCTGTCCTGAACGTGGCAGACATAACCCCGTGTTTTTTGGAGGCCCACAAACAACCAAGGGCGGAACACCCTGCCAGCCCCTGTGCCTCTCACCTAAGAAAGGAGAACAAAGGTGACCTCCTCCAGACACCCAGCTTCTCCCTGATCCGTCCCCTTGGTCAGAGACAAACCCTATCTTTGCGTTTGTGGGTTTCCCTTGTGGAAGAACAAGGCAGCATCTGACTGTTACCTGCACAAACTTATTCTTTGACAGGGGGCGCTGTGGTTATCCCCATTTGACAGGTGAGACCACTGAGGCTCAGGGAGCTGGCTCCTCCGAGATAAGTGGGAGGCAGGTTTCTGGCTAGGTCTCCTGCCCCTCCACCCTGCCTGCCAGCCGGCTCTGAGGCGGAGAAGACAGAACCGGGCGGTTCCAGCTCTAAAACAGGCGTTCCCGGGGGGAGGGGGGTGGGTGGTGAAGAAGCGGACTCGCAGCACTATTGTAGGTGTTCCTTAAGTGCTCGTGCTGCCTGGTGACAGAATCCACTCTCCTGCCACACAGAGTCGCAGGCCACACCTCCTTCAGTGGGAGGAAATGTGGAATGTGGGGGAAGCAGGCTCCACCTGGGGACATTTATAAATCTGCCTAATTTTCTTTTTCAAATAGTGGATGCATCAGGGAAGATCAGAATGTTTCAGTGAGGCTGAGTCCAAGTTAGGAAACCAGAAGGGGGCCATTGGAGGTCCTCGCAAAGTGGAGAAGCTCAGTCCCGGGGACGCAGCGCCATCTGCTGGGTACCTGTGGTGCGGCGTGCTCTGACACTGCAAAACAAAAGCGATTAGAAGAGGGCATTGCAGACACTTAAAGCTTTACTGCTGCAGCAACATCCGAGAATGTGCAAGGGTTTTGTCCACTTAGCACTGAAAACAAACCCAGAATGGCTGCTAACTATGCAGTAAATATGTGTTGAGCACCTATTAAGACAAACATGGTTTCTGCCCTTTTGGAAGGGTACCTTTTGCCAAAAGTAAAAGGCAAAAGATGCTGTCTTTGTGTCTTACACACACACAAATACACACCTACATACAGACCTATAAACACACACACATATACATACATATATAAGCTCATGTTAGGTACTCTTAGAGATGTTTTATAGCATGTGTAACTAAATTAATAGGGTAGCAGTTAGGACCATGGTGGACCTTGGAACCACTTGCCTGGGCTTATATTCAAATTCTTTCACTTTTTTTTTTTTTTAGCTGTGTGTCCTGGGCAACTCACTCAACCTCTCTGTGCTTCAATGTCCTCACTGGTAAAATTTTAAATTAACTTTAAAATATATTTAAGATAGTGATGGTGTGTAGTTAATATATTTGAGTGTTCCATATGTACAAAACTGTTTAAAAGTTAACAAAACTTTTTTAAAAATGTATACTAACAAAGCTTTCCAGAAAGCCGTCACTGAGAAACAAGGCTCCCCTTGTCCGTGGCAACTCAGAGCAATTCCACTGGAGTTGGGGTTGCGCCTGCTCCTGGGGTTCAAGGCTTCGGCCCAAGGCCCTGCCTTAAGGCGGGGTTTCTACTGAGCAACCGTGCTAACCTCGGGACATGTAAATGCGAGAGAAGTTTCAAATGCGAACAACTGATTAAACAAATAGAGGAAAATCCAAGAGGAGCACTTCGCTCAACAACACTGCAACAGTGCTCCCGCCCACCCACCCCCATGTCCTGTACTGTGTGTGGGTAACAGATGAGTGATACCATCACCACCCCCACACCCAGGCTCCAGGCACAGGGGTCAGAGGTCTGTCCCAGGGATATTAGTGCTGGCAGGAGGCTGGAACCCAGACAGGAAATCTCAGCTCAGACTGGCTCCAGGTAGGTGGAAGAGGGGGCTTAGAACAGCTTTTCTGAAAAGTGTGTGGGCCGCCAGGGGCTGCCAGGGGTCAGGGGTAAGAAGGCTTGGCCACTAATTAGCAAGCCCAGATGCACAGGCTGCGTCATGTTGGCTGTTTGTGTGTGTTCCCGTGGCCATTTCTGAGTCCTTAGAAAAGTCTGCTTATGCGTTCCAGTCCTGACCCAAATAAGCCAGAGGGCGTCATGGGAGGGTTGTGGGTCCCTGGGTCACGGGGCTGGCCTGGTAACTGGCAAGTTTACAGGAAGTGAACAAGAAATTGTCCCTCTCAGAGGAAAGTATGGGGGCTCCAATCTGGGGACCCTTGACATGGGAAGGATCAAGCCACCTCAGAGGAACTCACATGTTTTTTTAGAAAGCAAAGGTGAGAGGTGCCCAGGGCGGAGTCCGTGAGAGATCCGTTAGGAGCTGCCAGGTACACTCCACCCACAGAGCCACGGACAGCCCTTCGCTCTCCCACCAGCAGGGGACAGTGTATGCCCAGTGTTGCCAGCCAGCGGCACTCACCCGAGCCGCGGTGTGCGGGGTTTTTTTTGGTGTCCAGTTGTGTGGGTGCTGATCACTTAGCTACTCTGAGGTCCAACTGCTGGATTGTGACCGGGACCTCAGGCACGCAGGCCACTGTCAAGCAGGACACACCAAGGGCTCGGGGAGTCTGTCCCAGGACACAGTCAGTGGCCAGGCCTCTGTGAAGCATGGGGGGTTTCGAGCCCCCCACACCTTCCCTGCACACTCCCACGGACCAAGCTCAGAGGTTCCCCGTTTCACTTCGTGAGGACGGCGGCTGATGAATGGCTCCAGGCCCACCCTGTTCAGGTTTGGGGGAGGCAGGAGAAGAGACTGGTCAGTGTGGTCAACACCTGCTCGGTGCAACGACCCCAAGGTTGGCCAGCGGAGTCCCGCAGACACACGCTGAAGGGGCACCCACCTGCACGTGGCAACATTCCTGAGAAAAACTGTGAAAAAGCACAAAATTTAAAAAGCCAGAGTGATGGGATCTGTGCTGCTGGGTCCTCAGGATTGCAACTTGCAGATAATGGCATTGCGCCATCGCGGAAATTCTCCTTCCGATTCCAAGGATCCTGACACGTTTCCAGCCCTGTCCCTGCCTGACCCCCGCCAAGGGCTCAGCTCCCAACCAGCCTGAAGGAGGTCTTCTCCCATAGTCCAGGGCCTGGCAAGGGGCTCACGGCCTGGGGACAGACGCACCCGTGAAGGGGAGGCTCCTTCCACTGCTGCCCCCTGCTGGTAGGCTTCTCACCCTTTTCATTTTCAGATGACCCTGAAAACGGATGTGCGGGGTAAAAGCCGAAAGAGGGAAACTTATGGAAGAGGACCTCACTACACACCAGACACGAAGGCGAGGGGCAGTTCCGAGGGCCACCGAGGGCCACTGAGGGCCCTGTGGCAGGGATTCAGCAGGGACAGCATGGAGTGATGTCAGTGGTTGTCTTTGTGAAGGACAGGGCACCGAGTGGCCACGGCACAGTGGGATCTTGGGCACGCTGCCCTCCTCCAGTGCCGATTCACCTGTGAGACCCAGCAGCTCGCGGGGGACACAAGGGGCTCGGGGGGGCGGGCACAGTGAACCCTCTCATGAGCAATCACCTGCTTGGCAGAAGGACCTGCCTTTCCCCGAAGCAATGAGCTCTGTGGTCACCCGAGGGCAGTCCTCTGATCTGACAGGACAGTCCCCAGTGCCGTGGGGGTGGGAGGACGACGGCAGGAGCAGTGAGGTCTGAACAGCCCTAACCCTGGCCCGCAGGCCAACTCCTGCCTCAGTCAGTCTGGGGACTGAGTCCCCAGACTCAGTCCCTCCCAGAGGCGCTCGGGGGGACTGACACTGAAGAGGCCCCGAGAATGGCTCCGGGGATCCAAAGGCTCCCCTGCTAGGACCGGCTTCCCTCCAACCCCCCCAAGCATCCCTGTGAGCCGCCGTCTACGGTCTTCCATGGCAGCCTAAAACAGACTCGCTGCTATTCAGAATTAATGACTCAACATGCTGTATCCCTGGCAGTTTATTTTAAAAAACAACACCCCAGTTATCACGTTCTCTTCCTTGTCCATCATTTTTCTTAACAGAACAAGTTACAAAAAATCTGGGGGGAGATATGATCTTTGCAGATTGACACATTGGCAGAGGACTCCTGAATAATAATCACGATTCAAAAGCTCCTAGCTTTACTCCTGAATCAGGCAAAGAGCGAATGAGAACAAATTCTGTTTACAAGATGATAATATGACCTTGAATTATTACAGTGCAGTGGTTATAATTAAATTCACAACAGACTCTTCTTAGCCCAGACCCCAGACACACTAAAACCACCGGCTGCTCACACGCTGGAGCGCGAGCAGCCGCCTGAGCAGGGAGAGCAGACTCGGGAAGGCTTCTCCGGGCAGCGAGGGCGCCGCCCTCACTTTGAGTTCTGGTCTTCCGTTTCGTCTAGAAGGGCGGAGCGGATACCCAGCTTTTTCAGTTCTTCCACCAGGTCCCCGTTCTGGTGCATCTGCAGCAGGATGTCGCAGCCGCCCACGAACTCGCCGTTGAGGTACACCTGCGGGATGGTGGGCCAGTTGGAGTAGTCTTTGACCCCTGCGGGGAGAGAGAAAGGGTCACTCATACGGTCACAGCTGGACTCCGAGGTGACATGCTGTCCGCCCACCCCCAGCAGGGACCCGGGGCTCTCTCCTGGCCTCCCAGGCTGGGGGAGCAAGGTACACAGCGCACCAGCTTCAGAGCCAAACGGCCCGCTGTGTAAACCCTGACCTCTGACTGCAAACTGGGTAACCCTCAGTTTGGGGTCGGAGGTCAGGGTTTACACAGCGGGCCGTTTGGTAACCCTCAGAAAGGTCGTGACTTCACCTCTCGCCTGTTTCCACCCTTGTCCCGCAGGGTTCGAGGGGAACCAGGCGAGTGCGGCTCCCTCGTGGAACACCCAGCACACATTCGGCAAGGGGTTAACAGCAGCCACACGAGATACCCAGAGCCGCGTTCCCGGCGCATCTGCCAGGCAGGTTTTCAGTGAAACGGACCCTGAAAGAAGTGCCACAAGGTCGTTTCCAGGTGGATCACTTCACAGGAGCTGCCAGGGCGACTCTGCCAAGGTAGGCTGTCCCTACTCAATGCCTGCCTGGGTCAGTGGGTGCCACCGTACTTTCGCTCAGACATTAGTCGCTGGTTTCATCTGAATGATTCTTTGGTCCAGAGAAAAACCCCTCCCCCTCCTTGGCTACAGACTGTAGCCCTCCTCTTGTTCCGCCCCTGGGAGGGGCCCGCCACAGGGCAGGTGACCTGGCTCAGCTCGGAGCTCACGGGGACTGAGGTCACGAAGGGGGGGCCCAGCGCCAGGACAGGGCACTGGCGAGCCCGCCCAGCACCCCCGCGATCAGGAGCCACAGACGGTTCTCGGCCTCAAGGACAGTGGTTAAGACAAGATGGTAAGAAGCAAGCGTAGTTTCAATCCTAAGACATTAAAAAACCCTCTTTCCTAATGTTCGTCCTCACCACTCTATCCTATGTTGAGATGAAATGTCCTTCTTAAACACATCCAGCCAGTGAATGTCTGTGATGGCTCCGTTAAAACAGAGGATGGTCAAATTCATGACTTACAATAATCAATCCCTATGGAGTGCATGTGATCATGTTACACATATACAGATAGGCAGTTATTTTAAAACAGTGAAAACGAGCGCAACATAGAAAACTCAACAGACTCTGACAACAAACTACAGTATTACACAAATTAAAAAACCGGTCAAGTGGTGGTTTCTACATAAACAAACTAAAAACACAAAAAATAAGCATGCAAGATACATGTTTTTCTCATTTAAAAGTCTTTTTTTTTTCAATAGCAACTTGGCACTAAAGGGCAGCACCAGAAAAGGCCCCCAGGCGAGCTGGGGGCTTATCTTTCTCCTCCAGACTCAAGGATGATGGCAGGGCTACACAGTTACGACACCGTGACACACTCCGGAAAGCACACTTCTTTCCTGCTGCACGGTTTCTTACTGAGGTGTAACCGACACACACACACACACAATGTCACATTACTTTCAGGTGTACCACGTGGTATTTGCATTTATTGCAAAACGGTTACCACAAGTCTGTAGTTACAAAATGGTCTTTCTTATGATGAGAACTGAGGATCTACCCCCTTAGCAACTTCGAAGCATACTTCCGAGTCACTCTGGGTGCCAACCAACTCGGCTGTGGGGTTACGAAGGAAGGCTCACTCCGTGAAGCACCAGAACGTCTTCTTGGGCCCAAGCACCTGAATATACCAGAAGACCCCCGAGGGGCTCAGGTTCTCCAACATCCTGACCTTCAGTGCTGCGTGATGACTTAGCGCACAAGGTGTGTGTGTGGTGTTCTGCCTCTGTCTTCAATGCCGTCCACCAGAACTCGTTCTACAACGATGCCCCTTGCAAATCTTTACTTTTAGGATGACCGAGGGTGGGTGTAGAAATGTGAACTTCTCTTACTTCTTCTAAACCTTCTTAAACATCTTTTAAGTTCATGTACATGAACCACTTACACATGTGCTGTTGTACCTGGTTTTTCAACTCACGGTATGCTGTGTTGAGCTTTCCGTGACAATAAATACCTACTGATTCTTCTGGCGAGTGCCTACAATCTCTGAAACACACCAAAAGTGAAAATAAATTTCCCATCTGAGGGCCACCCAAAACCACACGTTTAATCTGAAATAAGATACAATTCTTTTAAATCAAATCTTTGCTAAGTAACGGAATGATCTGCTTTCAGCAATCATTTTTTATGGTACCACACTTGACCGAAGCATTGGGCTTGTTTCATTCCTTGAACTTGACACCGGAGACCGTATGTCTGACTCTAGGGGAAGGGGAAGAGGAAGACTTCCCCCTAAACCACCAAAACCGGGGGGCTTTCCAGCCACCCCGAGTGTCCAACACAGAGCCATGTGCAAGGGGGCTAACTCCTCCCAAACCCCTTGGGGCAGGAGCCAAGGTGCCTCCCAGCTGACAGCTTATCAAAACTCAACTTACCTGCTTCTTTAATTTTAGATTAACAAGTGTTACGGGCAGCCAATGCCAAGGCAAAGCTTTGGCATCTTTCTTTAAAAACACTCTATATTCCATTTTCAAAAAGTCTGATACGGGTTTAAATATTTAAGGAAATATCCAATTGATTCCTATATACCAGCGATTTTCAACCTTTTTCATCTCATGGCACACACAAACTAATTACTAAAATTCTGTGGCACACTAAAATATATATGCTATTTTTCTCTGATATGAAAAAATATAATTTTGACTCATTCAGACTGCACGACCATTGTTGTGTCGGCTGCTCTAATTTTTTTTTACTTGACAGTCTAAGGGGAAAGAGGTCAGTTGCCAATGGCACGGTCAGGTAGTACTCCTTTCAGAAATCCTGGCAGCGCACTAGTTGAAAATCACTGCTCTACAGTGACGTGAGACACTTCCAACAATAAAAGACCACTGTTCATAAGCTGAAATTAAAATGAGTCCACATGATTCACAATCAATTGTTTAAATGTAGCTAATTTCTCTCACATTTCAATTTTCAAAGACTGTAATATACAGTGATAATTCTTACAAACATACTTGGAATTCCTCAGAGTCAGAGAGCAACTCTTGAGACTTTGAAAATCACACCCGAGAATGGACTGTAAAGACACTGTATTTTTTAGATGATAGGCAGCGATTCGGTTTGGGACGGAAAACGCTGACTGTGAAGTCAGTGAACAGGGTGGCACCGGGAATCGGAAGTTCAGAGGCTGTCTTACACACACCTGCCGCTCCACCAGAAATTTAATATCCCAAGTATCGGACCAGAGTGGAGGAAATGTTCTGGGAAATTCCCTCCCAGAACTTTCAAAAGGTACTTTTCAAAACCCATCGCATCTCAGAGTACCACGCTCCGGCCCTGGTTAGGGCAATACCTTTTAGGGCATCACAATCCTGGCCCTTTTTTTCCAGGTAGATTTTCACTACGGCAGCTTCAGAGTCGGATGCAGATTAATTCCAACTCTGACACTTCCTAGGCCCTGTGACCTGCGGCAACTCCACCACCTCCCAGAGTCCCGTATTTCTGCCTCTTCCCTGCCGTAGAGAATGTTGCTCAGACAACGGGCCATAATCCAGGCCGAAAGCGTGGAGAATGGCAGACCCCCAACAGAGCGAAAGCAGAGCTGGTGGCAGAGTGAAGAAGGCACCGCAAGGCACCTGCCCAACGGTCAGCAGACTGTGGCTTGCTGGCTTGTACCTGTAGCCTCGACTAAATCTGCCAATCTCTTAGCCTCCATTTTCTCATCTATAAAATGGGGGTAACTCCATGCCCCACAGATTTATTACGAAGGTGAACTGAGATCTAACTGGTGAAATGAATTATGGTCCCACAGGGCCAAGACAATGTGGACATTCTGCCTCCTCCTTGTTGATGTCCTCTGCCCCACCCTTCCGGGAATGCTTCTCCGAGAAACACAGGCGACAGAGAAAGCTTAGGGAAAGAATGACGGAAAATACCGATTAGAGGTGCCACTGGGTATAAAAACAACCATTTGTTGACCTAAGGGTTACAGAGTTTATCCTCTTTAACTGTTTTATTTTACATACATAATCTCATTTAATCTTTACAAAAATCTCCCAAGGTAAGTATGATCATCCCTACTTGACAGATAAAAAAACTAAGGCTTAAAGAGATTAAATGACAACACTAGCACAGGCTGGAGCCAGGGTTTACACCCAGGTTTCTAGATGCCCGAAGGCCAGGACCCGGACCACCAGAGGCAGCCTCTGGCCTGTTAGCCTCTGTCCCTCCTGCCCATGACCTACACTTGCACACACACAGCTGCAATATATCGGACAGTTTGTCTTCTTTAACATTTATATACACAAATGGCATTGTGCCACACCTACCTTTTTGCAACTCTCTGACTAAACAGTGTATCTTTCTGAAATGTAGTCACATAAATACATCGATTCATTTTAACCACAATTTAGTTTATCTAGTCTGCTACTAACAGAACCAGATCTCCTCTTGCCAATTTTTCATCATTCCAAGCAATGCTACAAAAAAGATGCTCATACGTCTCCTAACTCACATGTGGGTGTCTGTCTAGACCAAGGGGTGACATGCTACAGCCTTTGGGCCAAATCTGGTCCACTTCTTGTTTTTGTAAATGAAGTTTGGTTGAAACCTAGTCACTCGTACTCATTTATGCATTATCCCTGACTGCTCTCCAGCTTCAGCCGAGGCGAACAGTGGCAAAAGACACTGCACAGTCCATAAAGACTGGAAGTGTTTACTCTCTGGCCCTTCACACAGGAAGCACACACTCGGGAGTGACGCAGCGGGGTCTTCAGCTCCGTTCACCTTCGACTCAGCTGACGGTACAGGAAGAACTGTCATTGTACTCACTCGCATCCCTCCAGACTGATGGAAACTATTGTAGACTCTCATCGTCAGCACACAACACATCCACTACACACACACACACACACACACACAACTTGTTATCCAACTTATAAGGTTTGCCACTGTCATAGATTTTTTACTATTGCCTTAAGTTCCCCAATACTGAACAGGCTGAACAAGTTTTCAAATGCTTAATACACCCTCAACAATAGGATAATGATTATTCATTCAAAAAGCACTGTTCCCAAGCAAGAAATACAATGGTGACCTGAATCAGCAAAAACTTTAGAGTGTTCATAATGTTTTTAAGAGCAAGGAAAAAAGTTTACAATGATAAATAAAAGCATGTACTTACTTATTAAAACACTCATTGACAGCTTGCTCTGGATAAACAATACACAGCACCCAGGCAGGGGCATGACACATGTCCCCTACTCTCAAGAAGCCAAAATGTATATACAGACGTGCCCGGTATCAGTTGTGTTTTAACAACTGTTAGATCTGAAAGCTGGCCCCAGAAGGATACCAACGCAAAGCCTTTCCATGACATCAGCCTGTCTCATCAACGTGAGAGTGAGTATGACTGATCATTTCAGATGCAGGATACCATTCACAAACACAGGACAACAAAACATGGGCTTCTACGTGTAAAATAACAGAAGATGATGCTTCAAGACTCCTTTGCGAACACTGCCACTCAACAACACTTGGCTCAGGGAGGTGCCAGGACTTGGGCATATCGAGTCTCTCACAGGAACGCGGGGTACCTAGGTCGCCCTCCAGGCGGAACAGGCACAACCTCCCCATTTCTCCGCCAACACGGACCAACCTCAGCCAGGGCACAGATCCTTGGAGACCAGCACCGAAGGTCGGCAGCCCTGTGCTCCCCAGGAAAGATGTTAACTCGCAGTTGGGGCCTCTCTCCACTGCCTGGGCCAGTGAAAAGCCACGGGTCCTGCCTGGCCCCTGGCTTCATATGCTACAAGCTTGAGTTAGCTAGGGACCAGGAGTCACTCCCTGTCTCTCTCCCGACAAGCCTCTCCAAACCCTGGCTCCACAAAGTCTGCCCTGGCCTTGATTTCAAGCCCTTTTCTCCCACACCACCAGATCCCAACTCAGACCAACAACAGAGGATGAAGCTCAAGAGGCCAGTCTCTGACCCCACCAGACTCAGACCAAGGGAACCTCGACCCCCACCGTCCACAGCCCTACCTGCTTACTCACCCGAAAGACAGGCCAACGCCCTCAAGGTACGCCCCAAAGCGCCCACCTGCGACGTTCTTGCTACATTCCCCTTCACCCCACTTGCCCAGCCCTGCAGGGCGGGCAGGAGGCTGCTAACCACTCTTTTCGGACGCAGCCCGAGAGAACTGGCCCAGAAACGCCTGTTTCAGCTCTGTGTGAGGATCGAGGAGCCGCTAGGACTTACCCCACTGCCCAAATTGACAACAGTACCGGAGCCCCAGGTCCTCGGGCCCTGTCCATGTAATCATGTCCTCACCCGAGATTCTCTAACACAGTAGTACCCCCTGCCCTGACCCCACACAAACCCCAGACAGACCCTCGGTCCCGAGAAGAGGCCTGGCCTGTCATCCACACCCTGCACTCGGCGGGCCCTGACCTTGCCGGAGCTGGGGGTCGTCCAGAACGTTGTAGGCTGCGTAGTCCCGGACTCCGTGCAGCCGAAGGATCTGCACCACCGCGTTGCTGAAGCCACACTGGGGCTGCTCCGGTGTGCCCTTGAGGAAGACCACCACCTTGTCCTTCTTCACCAGCGCGTCCAGCTGCTCCGCCGAGGCCCCGCCGCCCCCCGAGCCCGCCGCCCGCACTCCCGGACCCCGCAGGCCGCCGCTGCCCACGCCACGCCCCCAGCGAAGCAGAGCCGCCGCCGCCGCCCGGCCCAGGGACCCGCTCATCCCGCAAGCTCGCCGGAACCCTCTACCTTCGGGGACCTCGGCTCGCCCCCATAAACCTTTCCCCGCCCCCACCCCCAAGGCCCTCATTGGACTGGCTCCAAACTGCTCTTCATGATTGGAGAAGGCTCGGCCGGCAACTGCTCGAGTTTACCAATCATGTTACTCGCCCCTCCCCTACAGGTTAAAGGTGGCCCTAACGCCAGCGCCTCATCCTACAGCTTCACGATTGGCCCTTGTCAACTGCTTTGTTAGTTGATTGGAGGGAGTGGATGTCCATCAGCGTCACCCTCCGCGGCGCTGTGAGGAGAAGCGCGGGAAAAGGGGACATCCTTCGGTAGGGTGGGCGTGTCCGCCAAGATAGTCCAGCAGACCGGGAAAGGCATTGGGCGGGGTTTCGCCGCTCCGCGGAACGCCGGGATGGGGTCACTTCCAGAGGAAGGTTCCGGTTCCGCTACAGGCGGTGGTTGAGGTGCCATAGCAACGTGGCTGTTGGGGCCCTTGTTCTGCGTTAGGGGTGGTAATTGAGCCTCTGAAGGCCTGGGTGGGTCTTCCCCAGCTTAGGTGAGCGACTCCGGTGCCTCCCTTAAGGCCGCGGCCAAAGCGGCCATTCGTGGCGGAAGCCGAACCAGACACTGTCGTACAGGCCAGCACGGGCTACGTCATCTGGCCCTGGGCCACCTGTGCCATCCCCATCCTGGCGCCCTGCTGCGCACGTGAGAACGGAATTCAGTGCCAGGCTTCTGGGTCCCCGCCTCTGGCGCGCGATTGTGTCTCTAAAACAGCTTTTAAAAGTTTGTAAAGCGTTCTCGTCTGTGTGAGCCTGTCTGGGTTTGACTTTCCACCCTACTTAAGGCCTTGGACCTGGCCCGGGAAAGGTTTGTTGAATGGGGACCCAAGTGGGGAATTGGTTCGTTCGACACACGTTTTCTGAGCAGGTGCTGCGTGTTCGGCACGGTGCGTGCGGAGAGACATGGTGCCCAAATCTTGCAGCCAGCGTGAGAAATGAGAAGCAGGTACAAAGTAAGGGGGGGGGGTACAGAGTACAGAAAGGAAGGGCCATTGGTTTTTCTCATCTCTTTTACTTTTTACACCATAACATATATTAGGTGTTTATTGATTTCGCTCCCAGGCACTCGATTTGATTCCCCGTGCTTGGAGCGAGGCAGGTTCTCATGTTGGTGGAATGAATGATTCCGGGAGAATGGGACTCGGTGAAGTCCTCGCGTGGTCTGTAGTCTGGAGCCGCTCCGGGTTGGTGGTACCCTGGAGCACACCAGACTCGCAGAAAGAGCATACGCCGGAGGAAGCTGAGGCATGACTGCTCGAGAGCCAGCCGTCCCATGTGCAATTTTCCTCGGATAGTTCTAGGTACTGTTGCCACGGCGATAATGACTTTCCCATGTCATTATCTATCCACAACAGTAAGAGAAGCTTTGCAGCCAAGATATTGTCTAACAGATGGAGTGCTTTCTGTTGGACACTATGTACTGCTACAGATTATTCTTTTTTAAACCTTAGGTATTTTAAAAATTGGTTCCAGGGATGACCTGTTTATGCTTTGGAGATGCCCAAATTTAAAATCAGAAAATTGGTGCATATTCTGTCAGCAAATGAATCTTGGAAATAATCCTTCAGCATGCAACTTGAACTTAGTAAACTGGAAGTAAACTCCAGACATTACCCAGAAGTGCTCCTCAGTGACATACTTCCCACTGATGTTCAGTGGTTTTCTAATGTGGGACCCAACATTGATCAGTTTTTTTAAAGAATCTTCTTTTTTCCACCCAGATTTGTTGATTCCAGGTAAATCATAGGAACAGGCATCAGGACCAGAAAAATGAGGTCTGCCGGGAAAAAGCCCAGCCATTGTTAATATAAGAAGAACAGTTTGCATGACATCGCTGTAACCTGGCAGCCAACGAAAGTGGCCTAGAATGTGCATGAATGAACAATAACAACCTCACTGTACTAGTCAGTGGGGGCAGTAGAGGCTGTTGAGTGAGCATGGGCACTGTGTTCTGTCACATTCAGAATGACTGAGCGAGTAGAACAACGACTCTGCATCAGATTTTGTGTTAAGCCTGAACATTCTTCTGCAGAAACTGTTCAGATGATTCAGAAGGCTTTTGGGGATGAGCAAATAAAAGTGTGGCACAAATGTTTCAAAGATGGTCAAGAATCTACTGAAAGTGATCCACATTCTAGAAGGCCTGCAACAAGCAGAACACCTGAGAATGTTGAACGTGTAGGGGCTGCAATCAACAAAGACCCACAACCCAGGTAACTCAGCCCCTACACCCCAGATTTGGTACCCTGAGACTTCTGGCTTTTCCCAAAACTAAAACACCTTCAAAAATGAAGAGATTTCAGACCATCAGTGAGATTCAGGAAAATACAACAGGGCAGCTGATGGCAATTCCAACAAAGGGTTTTGCAGAGTGTTTTGAACAGTGGAAGAGGTTCTGGGAGAACTGCGTGAGGTCCCAAAGTACCTACTTTGAAGGGGGTTGACGTGTCGTTGTCCTGTGTACAATGTTTCTTGTATCTTCAATAAATGTCCCTCTTTCACAGTGCCTGGTATCTTCAATAAGTGTCCCTCTTTCACAGTGTCCCTCTCTGGACGGGCCTCCTGGTTTGAAGGAGATGCCGTGGTGCTGAGGCGGGACTGCCGTGTCAGAGGTCCAGCCTGTGGGCAGCAGCAGAAAACACGCGGGTTCCAAAACCACGTTTTGCTCATGTTACAGTAAGTTGTTGCTGAAATTGTAAGTTGCTCATTGCCTACTCAGCTGTCTACTTTGGCCTTTGCGTTGATTGGAGGAGGGAGGAGAATTTGCACGCTGGTGTTCTGAGGACCCCGAGGCACAGAGCAGTAATGACAGCCCTTATCTAGGTAGTGAGTGACGTTGGCCTCGGAAGGGTAGCTGACCTTCTCAGTTGTTTCACTGAGTTGAGAATACAGCTATCGTCAGAGATTCAGAGTGACCCTTGAGCAGGGCGGATACAGAGCCTGTGTGTCTCAGACAGGGAGTAGAGTGGCTGCGCGTGGCGGGGGACGGCGGGGACGTAGAGGAAACGGAGGCCGTGGGAAAGCGTGGCCTTGGCAGTGTGATGAAGGGCAGGAAAACAAACCATGTGTCTAAACCAAAGGGATTGGGACAATACATCTCAACTTAAGTTTTTAATAAAGGAAGCAAAAGTACAAAATGTCTATGGGGAACATTCATTTCCGTCTTCGAGTGAAAACCACTCTTGGAGCGCTGGTGCCAAACCTCAGGCATTTAAAGAAGCAGAGAAATAGCTTTTGAAATATTTCTTCCAAAGCATCAGACTCTTGATATGATGTGACATTTGTTTTTGAGGTTTCTCTTTAGGAATTCTGAAATGAAAACATCTCACACACACACTCTTCAGGCACACAGTTGTCAGAGATCTGCACACATGCTCAAATATATTTGGGTGTTTTGAACACAGAAGTCAATAATCGTCAATTTGTAATCTCTCCCATGTGGACAGTAATGGGGGAGCAGGGGTGGGAAGTACACAGAAACTTAGGAGAATCCTGGTATTTTGGTCACAAGATATAGTTAGACCCCAAACTAAAGAATCAAGGCATGTAAACCTGCCGGCTCAGGCATCCTAAAAATGTTTTTCTCTCTGCACTTATTTGTAGATAAGGCTTTACTATATTTGGTAAAAATTTTTCTATCCGACTTCTCCGAAAGCAAATTCACGTTGAACCACAGTTAAAAACCTTACAGATTTGAGATCATGTCTTCCCCAAATCAGCCCTAAGTGATTATTGAGCTTAAGACCACGTACCCAGCATGTCTGTGTTTCTGTGCCTCACCTTAAGTGTTGAAGTTGCTACATTCTGACAAAGAGGGTGTGTCTCTGCACAGGACACAAAACAGCTAGGCCTGAGCTGGTCGGAGCACTCTGTGTCATTTTAAAACAAAAGTGGCTGCCTGGGTTGCCCAAGGGGTTGAGCCAGCAAACAGTCCTGAGCTAAAGTAGCGTTTGTGACTTGGAGTTGCAGCTGGAACCTGAAACCTTTCTTTGGTGCACTCGGCTACTGTCCAGTAATTTCTGGGCCTCTGTACAAGCCTGGCATTAACTGGATGCCCCAACCGCCCCAAGAATAATGTGATGCCTGAGGAACCGGGGCACTGCCCCGCCCTCCGGGAGAATCTTTGCTAATCCCTGATGCCCAGATAGAAATGCCTTTGCAGTTTGACTCTGTCTGACAAAGACAGCTGCTGGTATAAATACTCTTCTGAGCAGGGGAGAGGCCTCAGCCTAGGACTGCAAGGAGGGCCCATCAGGGCCTGTGCTCTGCTCTGAGTCAAGGGAAGAGGAATGGTGTGCTGGTAACCGGGTTAGCTCAGTGGGGAACCAGCCGTGGGAGATGCAGGTGTAAAGGGGTTCTCCGAAAGACCGTTCCTGAGAAGCTGGGAGGCAGCAGCAGAGCCTGGCTCTGCTGCGGGATTTGAATGGCAGCTGTGGGATGTGAGCCCTGGGTCCAGTCCTCAGCAATCCTAAGTCTAGGGAGTTCTTTTTCATTCTCTGTAGAATGTCCCACCCCTTCTGTCTTCCCGGATCTGTGAAAAATGTGTGTTGTCTGCAAACAGTTACCGTTCTTTCAAGATGTCGTTATCTGTGGGCTGCAGAGCGTCAAGGAACCGCTCAGCGCTCTCCTCCGCTCCTAAAGGTGTACCCCGAAACAGTACTGTCTGTTCCTCAGACGGATGTCATGCTCACGCCTTCGGGCCTCCCTCTAACCCCAGGATGAGGGTCTTGGACATTTTGGTCCCCAAATTAGGATCTCTTCCCAGTACTTGTGTATAACCTCTTTTTGACAGACGCGAGCACCTCGGGTTCCTCTAGAAGGGTGCTTGCCTTCACAAGCACTTTCTGGAATTTTACTGCTGAGTCATAACATCCCCAGCAAGTCCCACAGAAAAGGATCCCTGAACTATCTCCACCGGCTCTGCCTGTGAGTGTGTTAGAGACAGGTGCAATTTTTATGCTTCGTGGAACTGAAATGACGATTTCAATCTAAAAACCCAAAGAAAAAAAAATGTAAACCATAGCTCTTCCTTCCCGAAAGTTACATTTTCTTTCGTCCCCACGCTCTTTGGCATTGAGGCCCCAACTCTGGGCCTCAGCCGGACTTGGTTCTGTGGGGAACTTGATTTCATTCTGAGGAAAATAGCCCGAGCCCTGTCTCCTATGAGGTAGTATTAAGAATTAAGGAGCAGTCGCAAAACATGTTCAGACTTGATTAAAGGGGAGAAAAGAGCAGTTGACTTTGCCCAAACTGCCAGTTTAATCTTCTGTGTTACGTGTTTCTCTTTTCTTGCAGCACATAGTTTCCATAACTCAGACTGTTCCTACATTCCAGCAGCTTCTGAGACAGCGCCTAGACCACAGAACATAAAAGCAAGGAGCCAGTGCTGTTCTGGGTCAAACCTGTTAGGAAAATTTATCTGCTCGCAGAAGTTTATGGCTTCCTCTGATAATCACCATGTTTGCGGCCAGATGAGTGCCCGGGCAGTTTTATTATTTTCTTTGAATGATTGGCTGTGAGGTAGTGCCAAGGCCTTAAATACTCTTTATGATGAGTCAGAATTCCACTTGGTGCTTCCACCTTTGAGCCTTAGTAATTTAATGTGTCAAAATTAAATCCAGCTATCATGGGAATCCATTGCTGCAGCCTGCTCCAGCAATGCACCTAGCAAAGGAAGAGGAGTTCACCCCAGTTCCAGGGAGGGACCAGAGGTTGGGAATGAGATGAAACGTATGCTATTTGTTACCTTTTGCAGGAAAATGTTGGAGGATTTTAAATGTTTTTCTGCTTTTATGGCCTGAAAAATTTCATTTGTTAATTCCAACTTTTTGGAAGCATAGCCTACTGAGATGTAGTTAGCTGTTATCCAATTTCAGTGAGCCAGAGTTTCAAAGAAGTTTAATGAAAGGCTGTTACAAACTAATTATATTGTTTAAAAAAAAAGAAAAAGGTAAGAGAATCACTTTGCATAGACCTCACTTGCTAAAACGGGCGACCAAGAGACTTTTGTGCTAAAAGCCTTGAGGAGAAGGGGCCCCACCGGCAGGCCCAGCAGGTGCTCAGCAGCAGTGCAGCGCCAAGTGTGTACGTCAGTCCGGGTGGCAAGATCTTCCGCCGGTTCATCTTCACACCACGCACTGCGGCTCCGTTCGCACCTACTGCTGGGTGGCTGGGGACAGAGCCAGCGATAGCCTCTGACTTGAAGGATTTTTGCTTATGTTAAAAATCAACACGTCATATTTCAAACTCATTCCATCTTGAGAAACTTGGAGTGTCTCCTGAGAAGCCTCTGCCTTACCCTGCAAGGCCTGTAGGGGGCGCTAGTCTATTTTACTTAGGAAGCTGGACAGCCAGAGCCCTTAAAGCTGTCCCTGTCACGATGCACAGTGTCACAGTGTCGGGGAACTAATGTTTGCCCGACTCCAGCGAGG